TGCGTGAGTGCGAACGAACGTCGTGGACTCAACAAACATGTGACGATGCAAAAGAAGCTATTGATTTGGAAGATTATATTCGAATCATGGAAAAAAAGATCAGGGCTGATAAGGGTGATTTTTGAGAAAGTGAAAAACTTTTAGCTAGAATTAATTAGTTTCATTATATCTTATTTAGATATATAACTATTAATATTTTTAACATAGTTAGACTGGTAAATATTTTTCTTAACCACATGCTTTACTTTGTACAATCAAAATGTCAATGTGCACGAAACAGTTAAGTTAGTGTGAATTCCCCCAGTTCCGCAAAAAGTTAACTATAACTCCCAATAATGCGTTAAGAAAAAGACTAAACATTCTACAAATCATGTTTTATTGTAAGAATGCTAACATAAACTTATTAGATTAATTTATTTCACTATTTTTTTTTTCAATTTATAAAGAAAAAAGAAGAAAAGGCAACTCGAGAAAATTAATTACATTTTTTTATTCTTCCCTGAGGAGTAATTCTTCTTAGTTTTGAATTTTGAGGGAGGGAAATTATCCTTGCATATTCCCTACTCAGCTAAAGTCGAGCACCGCATGTGTATTTCCGGACTTTGAGACTTACGAAAAGAGAAATTAGGAAAAACAAATTTAAGAAGAGTCTCTTTTACGTAAACTGGTTATATCTATTATCTTTTGAGAAAAAAAGTAATAACACAGAAAATCAAGCTTTTAAGTTAGAAAAAACTGCACCGCAGATTTTGTAACGTAATGTGCATTGACACTTACCTTGATTTCTATTACAAGAAATAACTATAGTTATAATATTATAGCATTTTTATATGCCGAATGCTTTAGATTAAATTTTAAATGCCTTGCATAGCGGGGATGGGAGGTTTGAGAGAAAGTTGCTGCATCAGACTTTTATCGTTCGCTGTGGCGAAATCTATTTCCATTATTAAGATATTTAAAATGTGTGTAGGGAGGTAAGAGAAGATTTTACAATGTAGACGATGCTACAATCGGGGGGTTAACTGCGGAGATTATTACGAATTTAAAAACCAATTTCACTTTTGTGAATTGATACTGTCTTCACGTGTAAACTGTTTTCACTTGTTCAGACATTCTGCAGCAGCAGAAATTGCAGTCTGGCTTTTATTCGTCACATGCCGCAGAACCCACTTCGTCCGATGCTGCGACAGCCGGAGAATGAAATTATCACACTTTGGAAATGAATAATCTATACATACCTGTTATGACTTTATTACAAAGATGGGAGAATGCAGAACTCGTATTCTGACATCTCCAAGTTCCGGCTCACCAAGTATATACCGACCCACAACCTTTCCTTTAAAAAGATTTAAAGAGCAATCGCTACATTTCACCAAAAAATGGTAGGGGATATAAATTTTGCTTGTTTTTTCTTTTTCTTTAACACCACAACGATTTTTGGGTTCAAGACGGAATGAAAGAGTCTGCAAACAACGTAAGTGCAAAACCATTTTATCTGGACTTAAAAACTGGGGGGGGGGGGGGATAACCGATGATGCTCATTCCATGTGAATGAGAGAACAAAATTCAACGTTGCGAACCAACATTATTTTTTAATCTTGCAGTGCATTGCAGAAACGATGCTGACAGATCGCTCCATCGCAGTGTTTAAAGAATTTAATTGTCGAGCTTAGAAATAGTTTCTCTAATTAAAAAAAATTACAGTAAATTTTGTTACTAATTTATTAAAGGGTTATTTGTCTCAAAACATGGTTTTGCAGTGTCCACTTTAATGCGTTTTTTCATTTTTCATTTGAGTCTGTTGCAATTCTGAATAACGTAAAATATTGCATGCAATAAATTCTAAACTTGTTAGTTTTATTAGATTTTATTAGAAGATTAGTCTGTAATAGTTTTATAATTACGAATGTTAGGAGACATCAAATTTGAGGAAAAAATATCTGAAAGGTTTCAGATTTTAAATTACGTCCAAAGGGGCGTTTTTTTTTTTTTTTTTTTTTTTTTTTTTTTTTTTTTTTTTTTAAACATTTTATGTGTTAACTTTATTTATTAAATATCAGGTTCACTTAAACCATGAAATTCAGTTCAACAGCAATGTCGCAAAATAATTTTTAAATGAGCATATCTTTAGAATTTCCGATACACAGTTCCGCGCGCTAGAGATAAAAAGGTTTTTTTTCCTCCGTAGAGTGTTGCCATTGTTCGCTTTTAAATCGTTGAGTTTGTTATTTTTGTCTTGTCAATTTTGGTCTTCCACATGCCCATATTCGTAGGAGGATTGCGTCATTCGAAATTCGATGGCTCTAGGTACCGCTGTTTTATCACAATGCGAGAAATATGCTACAGTTATGCAGATTTTTCGCTATTTAATTTCTTCAAATATAATGTAGGACTCTAACATTGGGTGGCAACAGTTTGAAAAGTGAAACGGGTCATTATAGTGATTCAACGCAAAATCGCAAAACGAAAACAATTGTCCTTCAGGGACAAAGCTCCTTTGAACTAATTAATAAAAAGTATTCTTTCTGATGCCAAAATTAGAATTTGAACAATTTATCTCCTAAATTTCGGGTGACACGATTATCACCAAAAAGTTCTAAGAATTTAAATTGTAATCTTTTTGAAATCTTGAAGTGTATTCATTTGTTTACATTGGATCTAAGTTGGTTTCGGAAATTACGCTAAACGAAAACCAATTTTAAGAAAAACTATCGTATAAAGTTGGGTTTAGAATAAAACCTCTTCATTCCGTCTTACATAATATTCACAAGAAAATAATTTGCTATACAAAATAAATTAATATATGCTGGGAGTGAAAAAATTAGGTTCCTAATTTTTTTACTCCCAAGAATGGCTAAAGAAGACAAAAATTCAGGTGCCGCGGGATATATATTATAAAAAATCAGATTCAGTATCTTATTTTTTTTCCTTCACAAAAAAAAGAAGCGAAATTAATTGGGATGCTTTTGATGATGAGCCGATTATTTAAAACTAAATAAAAATTTCGAACTTCAACAATTTGAAATTTTTTTAAACAGCAAATTGTTGTTCTTTTTGAACGAAACCTGTGGATCTTTGATTGATGGCAATACAAGTGAATATTTTAATATTTATTAAAAAGTTAAGGGATATTATGCTTCTACACATAAAGAATAAAATTTCTGTTATTATTTAAACAAGAATAAAACTGTTAGAATAAATTAGTGTCACTTTTGCAAAATAAAACTCGGCAACGTAAAAAAAAATAATAATAAATTAAAAAATAAATAAATTTAAAAAAAAACCTTGAGTTCTACCTTGGTTCAGATGCAGAAGTATTGAAAGATTTCATACTTGCATTATACTTGTGCTTCACTCTTTTCAGTATGTTACCTTCTTTTAGGGAATAAACACCTCATAATATTGCCTGGCATTGTGACAGGTAAGCTTGAAGGTATTCAAAACTTATGAATCTTGTAAATTCTTTATTTCAACACTTCGATTTAAATGTTTGTGAGGACTGTTAACTTTGATTTGTATTCTATTTGTGTTCAGAAAACTCTCTAACTTGTTAAATAAAGATTTCATAGTTATTGTAACTTATGATTCTTTAATAAAACTGTGATAAATAGAGGATAGTGTATTCAAACGCCTTAACTGTGTTAAATGCACGACACATCAAAAACACTAACAAGAAAAATGATTATTTATCTCAAAAGTTAACATATTCATTTGTACACAACGGAACTGTTGGTTAACTCCAGTTGACGGAAAATAAAATATTATTTTGAATAATATATCAAATTTATGCTTTTTTAAGACCGAGAAAGATTTTGATTAATTTGTTTTAAAAATAATATATTCATTGAAATAATCATTAATTATATATATGAAGTAATTTGCTTTAATCGAATCGATTGAAAGAAGATAAATCGGTGCCTTAGAAGCTTTTAGTATAATGATACGTAAAATATCTTTTGTTCTCAGTCACTGAATATTGATTCGATTTTTGGTTTGTCACGCAGTGGTGGTTTTGGATGTAGAAATTCGTGTTATTTCAGTGCCAGAAGTACTCGAATTTTCAAGAAATTCTCAGAGGTAACAGAGGTGATGAGGAAAGAAAATTAAAATTGAATAATATTCTTAAGCACCGAAAAAAAGGACACATTTTAAATACTTAAGGAGTACTCAACAAACAGCTAACAATTTAATGTAGCTGCTTTAAATCTCATATATTTCATAACCTTCCAATTTGGTTTCAAAAGAAATAATGTTGCTTCACACATTTTAAAGGAAATTTAGAAAACTTACTAAACTTTTTCTCATAGGTAATTTTACTTTTTAAGGGCAGTTAACAGATTTCGGAAAAATTTTATCGTTAGAGGCATAAAAATTTCAGATTTTTCCTGTAAATTTATAAACTATTTCATAGTAATGAGGATTTTTAATCATTATTTTCAAATTATGTGATATGTATGATTTCGGTGTTTTCATAAGCAAAAGTTAATTCTAAAATGCTGCCTGAGGATAAAGTTTTTCCCATTAAGAAGAGGTAACCATGCGCATTCACAAAAACTGCACGTAATTAATTTTCAGCACTATTAAAATTACGTAAGCTAAAATTGTGCAGTCATTAGGTTATTTTGAAACAGGAGACATGAAAAATGAGCCATGCCTTCGACAAGACTCGAGCCTGGACCTCTTGAATACGTGCCGAGCGCGTCATCGTTACACCACGAAGGCATATTAGAAGGAAGGAGAAAATACATTATAAAATAAATATGCAGAAGATACAAACATAACATTTCCGAGTAAATTTTTTGGCTCAATAACGATTTTATGAATGAAGAGTTTTATGAATTTATTATGTGATATCTATTTACATAATTAAATTATGTTGCCATCTAGATACGTTCCACTGATTTCGCTCTATTTATTGACAACAGGGGCCTTCGGAAAAGGGCCTTTTTTAGCCGCCCTCATTTCTGAACTCGCGCGGCACTCTGGGTTTGCTATTTTACCTCCTTGTAAGGTCTGGTGACATTGTCTGAAGCTGAGAAGATGTTTGGGCATTCATCCAAGGTTGTGTCGTTCTCCTTTCCCTCGATGAAGGTGGAGTTGACCATGGCGACCATGGTGACACTGAGGTTGACTCGCTGGGTATACTGGATACCCAGCCCCAGAAAAGTAAGAAGTGTCAGGACATAGCGAGCGGGTATACGTTCTACAGGGGAAAAAAGAATATATAACGTTAATAAAGTAACTATACAATATTGCAGACAAACTGTTTTTCATAAATTGCAATATTATCACTTTAATAAAAAAAAATAGCAGAAAATTATTTATTTAATTTTTTTCTATCATTTGCAAAATTATCACTTTAATAGAAAAAATTTTTTATTTTCTTTCAGAAATTTATTGAATTTAATTTTTCTGTTTACCTCAAGTGTTAATATGTTTCTTCAGCACGACACGAAACCTGTCTATAAGTCTGTGTGTCTATGTCTATCTGTCTATCGAAAATCTGTCTAGTGATAATCTGTCTATTACTATATATCGAAATCTGTCTATAAACATCTCTTCAAAATGTTAACAAAACAAACAAACAAAAAAACTGAAAGCTTCAGGATTTTTATATTACACCCAAACGGAGGCCGTTTTTTTTTTTTTTTTTTTTTTTTTTTTTTTTTTTTTTAACACATACGTACACGTTTTAGGAGCATTCGATCTACCGTCTCTTCAAGCTAAAAATATTTAAAAACAGATATCTGAGTTTGTTAATTATAAATTCGTTTGAATTTCACAAAATATGAAATAGATAATAAAACAAATTCGAAATTCAAAATTCGGGCTTCCGGGTGGCCACATTCGAGTTGAGGATTACGCTATTCGAAATTTGATGGCTCTAGTTCTGAGTTAACGCTCCGTTTCGGCTAAAAACTTGAATGTAAGAAGCCGTGATCCTGGTTAGTCCGGTTATTTGGAACTTAAAATACAAATTGATAAATAAACGTTACTTGGAAGCAGATTCACAAGCTTTAAATACAGAAGGAATTATAAGACTAAATTAAGGCGAATTTACAAAAAATTTCAACTTAATATGCAATTTCGCTGACTAGCAGTAAAGTGGCTTTGCACACAGCTATCAGTAAGTGGACTAGCACAAAATTAGGTTTTTATAACACGTGATGTCAAATCTCTAATAAAACGATGAATATTATCGTACTTCGAAAAAAAATTGAAATAGGAGCTAGATGAAATAACAAGCATCATTTCATCAGATGAAGAAGAACGAACAAAATTAGATAAAATAATAAGTAGCACAATCGCATTAAATGTATGGATAAGCCAAAGAATTTCTGGTTCCTTTTGTTTACAAGCTAAGGATAGAATAATTTTATTTTTTGAATAAAATATATATCTTTAAATGTATGTATCCATTTTTTTGCCATTCATATCATTTCCTGTCAATTACAATTGTAATTTGATTTTAAAATTAAAGTGTTAAAACTCTTTTCCATAAATAGACCAGCTTCCCTTTTTACATGTATCCTAAAACTTTTAATTTAGTATTTTAGATATTAGTCATAGAGTGGAGCGAATTGAAGAAGTATAAGTTAACGTTTCTTATTGTTTTTGGATGAATTGTAAGCAGAGTCTGCAATTTATAAAGAACTTGATCCTACTAGTTAAAATTTTGTAGGTGTAATATTCTAGACATCTTTAAAATACAAATAAATTGGAAAACAAACATAAAAAATTTTCCTTCTTTAATAAAAGTCAAAATTTTCACTTCATTTGGAATCGCTGGACTAATTGAAATACCCAGGAATGTTTTAAATGGCTGTCAGTGCATTTATAAATTTCAAGATTTAAATAGGTCTACACAAAACATTTTTATTGTAGAAACCGACCATTAATTATAAAAATTTAGAAAATTTTTAAATGCAAACGTTTAGTTCCAAAGAAAGTGCATAAGTTCACATTCTAAACTCCTAGATAAACGAATTCTAATCTAGTGCCAACGAATTTTTAAGTATTTTTCTGCTTTACATTTCTTATTTTTAAGCATTTGTTTTATGCTATAAACAAATTTCGCAACCGCTAAAAAACATTTATTTTTTAAATATTCTTCCATGCATAACAAATTACACTGTAGTACAGTAAACAGGGCTGTATATTTTAACAGTTTTACCCTTAACATTAATATCATTACGGAATCTTGTTATTATTAAAATAAAGGAACATTAGTGGCCAAGTGGACAATACCGCTAAAATCTAGTAGCTAATAGTTAGATCTACGTTCGAAACCTGGCAAATGATTTGGCTGCATGAGCATTTTCGTGGTTTTCCCGTTTATAATGCAAATACGAGCAATTTTACCTCAAAAAATGCCTCCACAAAGGCATCCGTTAAGAAAGTAACTATCAAATAATTTATAAAACAAACAATCAAAGTATTTGGAGAAAGATGGATGAAAATCACGATATTCAGGGGGGGGTAAAAATAGAAATTGTTCGCAGAAAATAAATCATTTATGCTTCACCTATGAAATACTTTGTAAAGCACTATACATAGTAACCTTAATTTAAATGCTTACCTTTAAAATGGCAAAAAAATAAGATTTCCATTCGAACTGACAAATTTTCGTTAGCTGAAATGCCTTAATTAAATCTGCAGAAGGAAAGAGTGGGAAGAAAGAGTTCTTTTTCGTAAGTTCCTTCAACAGAGTCAAAAAGCCGCTTTGTCTGCTATTCGCATATCAGTATCATTCCCACTGTTCCTCATCATTCTTTATTCAACAAAACAGAGCTTGTATTTCATTTTGAGGATTAAAGTGTGATGAAAGACAAGACCATTTTGAAAAACGAGGAGGAAGTTTTTTTATAAGGGTATTGAAGTGTTTTTTAACATTAATATATTTGAGGGTAATAAAAGAATGTGAGGTGTTTTCAAAGTGGATATACTGGTGTGTTTATGCGCCGAAAATATTCTTTTCTTTTCAGAACTAAAAAAGATTTAGGAAGATTGCATAAGACACATAATTACCACTTTTGTAATATCGCAGTATACAGTGCACTGCAATCCTTTATAGTCTTTCAGGACTCTTTACAGGATGCGCGATTGTTAACTCCCACATATTTTTATTCCACAACGTTCAGCGGTAATTTCAAATCCAATAATTCTGAAATTTCTGAATTTTCTGTAATAATGCCATCGTATCGATAACATTGGAGTCGCATGTAATATCTATGTTCACCAACAAATCCAAAGGAATGCAGAGGATTAGATTTACTTTCCTGTTTTGAAATAAAGGGACAAACAAATATATATCGTGTTCAGACCATGAGAATGTTTAGCTCAAAGAAAGCTAAAATTGTTCGATAAAGAATCGGATAAATAAGAATAGATAATATAAGAATAAGATAATACAAGAATATAATAATATAAGAATCATTATACAGAGAAGCTAATACATTTACAAGGTTTTTATATAAATGTCGACATAGTGCGCCGAGCAGTCCTTATTTTGTAGCCTACAATTATTACTTTCGCTTCCTTTCACAACATACATTCGAAATCTGCTGAAAATGAATCTGTAATGTTCTTTATACTAAATAATACGGGGAAATCTTAAAAAAAATGTGCCTTTTTTTACTCGAAAGTTGAGCATGGGTGGAGATGGGCACATCCATTATACCATTAGTAGATCAATCAAAACGAATCGCTGGCGGAAGTAAAATGCTATTTGATGAAAAAGATTGGGCTAAGCGTTTATGTGCAGTAAACTTTAACATTCTGTCCAAATTTTATTGCTGACCAGGTATATTCTGCCATGCCAACAACATGTTCCGCAAGAAATGACATTAATCGATTAATTTGCACCATGTGCAGCCCAACCGGGATAGTAGTTAGCGACGCTGACTGCCGTACCGAAAGTCCAGGTTCGAATCCCCTAGAACGCATGGATGTTTGTAAATGTATGGTTCTGTGCGGTTTGGGGACACTCAAAATATATGGCGCATCGAAAATCCTTCGGAGGAGTCCTTTGAAAGAGGTTGGTGGTAAGCGAAGAAGGGTGGAAAATTCCCCGGAGTGCTTTCCATAAAAATTGGGGGTGGAACAGAGCAAAGTCGCACTATCAGCTGTATGGTGCTCAAGGCCGTTGCCAATGGCCGGTGCAATCTTTCACTTCTTGTCACCATGAATTTCGTGGGCTTGTTCTGATGTTACTGTCAGAGAAATGAGATAAGTCACAACAACATTTGCACCATGCATAGTATTTGGGAATAGTTTTCGGAGCACTAGTGCAATAAAAATCGGATGTGTGACGGTTCATTCTCTTAGCTTAAACGAACTAAAAGTTTGATAAAACAATGGTCTCAAACCTGTGGCCACCGAAACAATTTTATGTGACCTCCGAATACATTTTCCATAAATTAATTGGCATTAATATGATATTGATTTTAATGGCAAGAATTTAAAAAAGGTTCAGTAAAAAATAGTTATAATTATTCATGCATTCAAAAAACGTTTACAATTATTCATGCATTCAAATAACATGTACTTTTTCTCTATGCGTAAAAGAAAAGTTCAGTAAATAAAAGAAAGATAATACGTAGCTATTATTTATTTTCAAGTTTTTACCACTTGAAAAGTTCTCGTAAGTTGTTTATTTTCAATTGAAAAGTAAGTTATTTAATGGTTAATTCTGCATATTAGAATTATCTAAAATAACAAAAATCAGTGATCTCAAAATTTAATATTTACGTTTGAATTACAAAGTTTAACCAACAGAAAACTCTTGCAGATTCCAATCTTTAGATTTCAAACAGAAAATAAATAGGAACTTTGAACCATTGTTACTACCGTTATATTTGCTTTGATAAATATTTAATTAATAAGATTTAAAATGTATTAAAAATGTGTTTTGTTGAAAAAAATTATTTTGATTGGGTGCTAGACATTACAAGGCAACATTTGAAATCTTGTAGCGCCATGACTCATTGGTAATAGTTGTTTGGATATCACATGAAGGATCAGCATTACTTTTTGTAATGAAATTACAAAAAGTAATGCTGATCCTTCATGTAAAATGTACAAATGGAAAGATTACGTTTTTGTAATGAAATAATTTTGAAAAAAATATGTTAAGTTATTGTATGAGTCGACTATACATAACTATTTGAAGACTTGAAAAAGTTAAGGTTACAATTTATTATT